GTAGATCGCGGTTGTGTGAAGGGAGGGGGAGCTGCGTGGAGAAGGAGGTGAGGGGAGAAGGAGAAGGTGGTGGAGGAGGGGGAGAACTGGTGGAGAAGGAGGAGTGGAGAAGCTGGTGGAGGAGGTGGTGGAGAGGAGGAGGTGGTGCGGAAGTGGCCAGGGAGTGCCCTTCTCCTGCCACCACCTTTCTCTCTTTCTCCACCCTTCACCACACCTTCTCCACCGCACCTCCTTCTTTCTCCACCAGCTTCTCCCTTTCTTCCCTTCTTACATTCTCCACCAGCTTCTTCCCCTCCTCTTCTTCCACAGTTTCTCCCTCCTCCTTTCATCACCACCTTTTCGCCTTTCTCCCCCTTCCTCCTCCACCACCTTCTCCACCTGCTTCCTGCCACTAAGGTTCTCCCCCTTCTCCAGGCCACCTTCCCCTTCTCCCTTCCTTCTCCACCAGCTTCTCCCCTGCTCGTTTCCACACTTGCTCCTTCTCCCCTTCCTCCCAACCAGCTTCTCCCCTCCTTTCTCCACCCTTCTCCCTTCTCCCCTTCCTCCTCTTCACCATCTTCTTCACAAGCTGGGAAGTGACGTCCACGAACACGGCGATTACATCTGAGTGGTTATAAGTATAACACAAACCACACGTGATAAAATAATGCAAATTATCTCCTGTACCGGCCTGATATAGACAAACCCGAAGGCACTGACGTAGCTGGAATACACCAATACCCTGCTGCCATAATTGGCTAATACTGGGATTACTGAAACTGAAAACTAAACTGAAACAGTGGGTTGCTCGCTTCAGTTGTATCGCGCTCTCCGCGCGGCGGGCCACTCAGGTGAGCATAAGGCTATATATAGACTTCCCTACGTGCCTGCTCTCGGCCTCGCTCAACACGTCTGCCCCACTCTGCACCGGGCAGAGTACCGCCCACAGTGCTGCATGCAGTGATATGCTGACCAGTAATACTGTATGCGGTCGTGCAGGCATTGTGCTTTCTAATATATACGACGCCAGGCTGCATAATTTTCGAGCCATTAAACAATGATAGACATAAAGGCCAAGTGTCAAGTAATTTATTTCGTTGTTATACCAGCCGTATCGTAAAATATCGATATCCGGAAGTTGCATCTGCCGATTTAATCGAGTTTTAAACAATATATTGCAAATACGATAATACCGGTACTATCGTTACACCCTTAAGTAGATTGACCACGCGTTTGTTACTCCTCTGCCGTCGTACCAGTCACCTGCCGTATTTCGCTACCTTATCTGGCGTTCTCACACTCCCCAACGGTCCGTCTCTCTCTCTCTCTCTCCGCTGGGCTCTCCGCCGCCGACGGCGTTATAACGGTTATCTTATCAGCGGTTCTCCCAGGATGAAATTCAAACAGGGGGGAGGGAGGGGAAGGGGGGGAGGGGAGGGGGGGTGGGCACTAGGGGGCCGTCGTTTTTTCGCGTCACCACTCAATGAATTGCATAAAATCCGCCCACCACCCATTAGACGGTATTTGGGGCTTGCTTGTATATATTAAGATATAGCCGAGTCGCGGTGCTTACAGTTAAGTGTTGGGTGGGACAAGATTGACGGTTGTATTGTACTGCGAGTGCATGCGTGCGGTACTGGTTAAAAATACACCGCCGGTATCCTTGGTCGAATTGTACTTCCTTGACGATCGATTCCCCCGCGCTTGGCAAACTTTTATTGTGGGTGGAATTTAATCGGGCGCGGAGGATTTTAAACGGCGCGCCAACGATGAAACAGCGGGGGAGTTTTTCCCCAAACGGGGCCCTGCGCGCCCCGTTTGCGCCAACGTAGGGTGAACCCTGTTCATACATGCATCAATGCTGCTGCCAGCCAGGGCACAAGCATGCCTTGCAGCGTTTCAATAAAATGTAATGCTGTAAATAAATACAATGCTATTTACTACAAAGTCACCAGCGGCGCGCCAAAAAAACTCCCCGAGCCAACGCGTTTGTTGGATATCAGCATTCTGGACCGTGCCCGGCCCGACGGTGAGCGCGGGGAGAGGGAGGCTGGTTAACTGTCGCGCTGGCCGCCCCGTCTTTCGTAAAAACATGTGCATATATATATATATTTGTGTGTTGCAGTGTGGCGGCGTATTAGGATTAGCTACGTCGTTAAAACTGCCACAGCCACGCCAGCACGTGCTTCGCACGACGTGCCGTCGCCACGGGCAGCCGCCGTTCAAGAGGTTGAATAAAACCTCGCACGTTCAGGGCCAGGCGCTTTCCAGATTAACATCTAGTGAAATTGCTCAGTTGTAAACAAACATCAATCAACGGGCTTAGCCAATCAACGTCAGGAGGACTAAGATGGGCTACGGAAATTTGAAATCGCACGTCACGATGTGTTCGAGGTAGACTGGATTACGAGACCTTACTCGGCCAAGTATCTTTCGCTACACTACAAGTTATAGTTAGTGCAGCGCTGTAGAACCTCTCCACCTGCGAAGCAGTTAGCTGCATCGCCGAATCCTATGTAGTTAGGAAACAATCATACCTTAGAAATCCCCCATTACACAAGAGGGCCTATTCGCGCCACTATGGCAACGCCATAAGTACGAAATAAATTTCAGGGCGTGAAACACCGGAAGAAATTGCAAACTACGCATTTTCTAGAGGAATCAAACGCAGCAGACCAGCTAAACGACGCATTACCAAGACATTTGTAATTTAATATCATCGACCTACGTGCATAGTCGAAAAGGCTTGTTGGAATCGCCCACAAATACCCTCAATTGACCGATTAATACGGCTTATCATCTCCTCTGTGTGTGTGTGTGTGTGTGTGTGTGTGTGTGGTGTGTGGTGTTACATATGTGTGTGTGTGTGTGTGTGTGTGTGTATGTATGTGTGTGTGTGTGTGTGTGTGTGTGTGAGTGTGTGTTAGATATGGTGAGGTTTGAAGGTAGTTAAAGAGGAAATTTAGATCAGCGGGCGGTGAATCGATGATGTGATCATCGTTTTCAAGAAGGGGGAGGTAAATGTAATATGTGGTTTACAGATGGTACATTTTATTAGTAAATGTAGTTAGACTTAGTTGTAAATAGTCTGGGCTAAGGTAGAGTCAGTCGTTTAGCATGTAGGTTATGAATGGTAGGTGCGTGTGTGCGATATAAGCCTTGTCTACACGACGACGCTTAACTCGAGTTAAGGTAACTCGAGTTAGCGTTAACTCGAGTTAGCTTAACCTCGCCAGTCGATCGAGGTTAAGCTAACTCGAGTTACCTTAAGGATACTCTCAAGGTTTTAGGAAAATTTTTACTGATTTTTCGTTTTCAAGTTTATTTGATGGCTAACACTATGTGCCACTTGTGTACGTGCTCATTTCTCCATATAACGGTACATGTGAACTGTCAGAGCGTTTTGCTTGCCAGCGTACATGTGTAGTGAGCCGCGGCTGACGTCATTATGACGTGAGACACATGATGCAACGGCGTCGGAACTGCCGCGGCACTTTTTTCAGGCCATAAATTTTCCGTAACCAAAATCTTTCTATAATGTATACCGTTTTTTGGCCGGTACATATATCATGTATATACGTGTAATCTAGGCCCCTATAAGCGGAGACCAGGTTCAGATGAGGTCAGGTCACCTGTAGCTATAAAATTTTATGATCCAGAACTCTGGCACACATTCCTCTGCCACCCGTCTACTCCTGATTCTATGCAGGCAGCATGCCGTTGCGTTATATTGAGGGAGCATGCTTTGCCCGGGGTCAGCGCGTTTCATGATGAATATTAACAGTTCGTTTGTGAGCACCAGTACAATTGTATGCATGTCTTGAATGAGAATGTATTTCAGGAAGTTTTACCAAAGATTATTCCACTGTTAAAGTGAGAAAAATAAATTTGGAGTTTTTGGTCATTATTGAATATTTTAATTCTATGTTAAGCAACAAATCTTTCAAATCATCATGTATTTTTCTAAAATTACAGTGAAAGGTCGAATTGTACTTCTTGACGATCGATTCCCGCGCTGGCAAACTTTTATTGTGGTGGAATTTAATCGGGGCGGAGGTATTTTAAACGGGGCGCAACGATTGAAACAGGGGGGAGTTTTCCCAAACGGGGCGCGCGCGCCCCGTTTGCGCAACGTAGGGTGAACCCTGTATATACATGCATCAATGCTGCTGCAGCCAGGGACACAAGCATGCACTTGCAGCGTTTCAATAAAATGTAATGCTAAATAAATACAAAATCTATTTACTACAAAAGTCACCGCGGCGCAAAAACTCCCCGAGCCAGCGTTTGTTGGATATAGCATTTGGACCGTGCCCGGCCGCCACGTGAGCGCGGGGGAAGAGGGAGGCTGGAATGTCGCGCTCCGCCGTCTTCGTAAAAACATGTGCATATATATATATATTTGTGTGTCAGTGTGGCGGCGTATTGTAGGATTAGCTACGTGTAAAAACTGCCACAGCCACGCCAGCACGTGCTCGCACGACGTGCCGTCGCCACGGGCAGCGCCGGGTCAAGAGGTTGATAAAAACCTCGCACGTTCGGAGCCAGGCGCTTTTCCAGATAACATCTAGTGAAAATTCTCAGTGTAAACAAACATCAATCAACGGGCTTAGCCAATCAACGTCGGGGGTACTAAGATGGCTACGAAAATTTGAATCGCACGTCACGATTCGAGGTAGACTGGTACGGACCTTAACTCGGCCAAGTATCTTTCGCTACACTAAAGTTATAGTTAGTGCAGCGTGTAGAACTCTCCACCGCGAAGCAGTCTAAGCTGAATCGCCGATCCTTGTGTGGAAAAATACCTTGAAAATCCTTCCAAGAGGGCCTCTTCGCGCCATCTATGGCACGCCATAAGTACGAGAATAAATTCAGGGCGTGAAACGGAAGAAATGCAAACTCGCTTTTCTAGAGGAAAATCAAACGCGCCGACCAGCAAACGAGCAATTACCAGCATTTGTATTTATTCTCGACCTACGTGCATAGTCGAAAGGCTTGTGGAATCGCCACAACTCCTCAATTGACCGATTATACGGCTTTATCCTGTACCCAAAGGGCACTGCCGAAATTTTTCTAAATAGGGCAGCGAATAAGATTTATTGTCACCGCTGCGCGGCGTTTAGGCGCTTCGCGCGGATATCCGGGCTGCAGATCGTCTAGACAGAGTGCACTCACGGAGAGTCCATATATACCTCCGCCAACGACATACGCCATACGACTCACGAACACACGAATAACCCACGATATACGCTAGCGTACTGACATGTACACGCTGGCTTGCTGGCTTGCTGCTCGCTCGCTCGTAGCAGCCGCTCGTTGCTGCTGCTTGCTCACATGTACACGCTTGCTGGCTTGCTAAGTAACTCGCTGGCTTGCTGGGTGATATCGATCGACCGCCAACTACATACGCCATACGCCACGGCTTGCTGACTCGCTGGCTGGCTGGCTGGTTAATATCGATCGCGCGAACACACGAACACACGAGAGCGAAAACATAACCTCCTCCAACTCTGTTGGGCAGAGGTAACTACACACAAATTTTGTTGACCCCCCTCCCCCCACTTCTAAGTTCTAGGGTATACGAGACTAGGATCTATTTGGAGTATATTGTTGAGGATCAAATGTTTATCTCCTCGTTTATATGCACATTCATCATTACAGTTTAATGTGTATTCACGCTGTATCACGCTATAACTAAGGTTGTCAATAATTTTAGTAATTTATAGGCTAATCCATTCAATCTCCTCAGGAAAAGGCACAAGAAGAAGCGGAAACGAGTTGAAGAACATGAAGACAGTGAAATGGTTCAGGACATTGCAAGTCATGGTACCTTAGTTATTTGTACATTTGTGTAATTTTTGTGTGCCTGTGAATTATTTGTTTACCTTCTATGCTGTTTATAATGAATGTGGGTGTGGTTGCAGGGTGCTACACAATTTTTTTTCTTCCACTTGTATCGGGCAAGTGAGTTATGAAACTGGTTGCCCAGAGGCAAAAGTCACTTGCCCGAAAAACATAAAGAAATACACAATATTTTTTTCTAACATGAATTTAAATGGTAAATAACGTAAATGAAGGTCCAACAAGTCAACATCCAGCATTTCACTTAACGGCACGGTAGAAAGTTGAACAGCTGATACGAGTTTGTATACAAAATATATTCATGTTGGGACACAGCACGCAGTTTGTTTTAATTTTTAACTTTCTTAAGTGTTGGTTTATTATCAGAAACCCACCACACTCACAATAAATTAAAAAAATATGTTCACGTTTATTTGGGGCTGGATCGTAAGCGCAGAGAATATAGTGGTGCATGCATGCAGATATAATGTAGACCATGACAGCACAATATACAGTGTACCGGAATATCTGTTTTTTTGTACTTCAGCAAAGAAAATCCTCTTTCACAGGTTGCAGTAGGGGGGCAAACATTTGAGGTAGCTGATCACGTAATGACTATGCCTGGCCTGGGGGCCGGGTTTACATGTTGCTGTGTCTGTATCCACCGATTGTTTCATTGCATTGTGTTTTATTCGTTGCAGCAAGGCAGCTCGATGACATGTCTGTGCAAAAAAATGCAAGGGACAGATGGAAACAGAAAAATATCATTATGTCTTGTCTAGACATTCAATAAAAAAAACTTGGTTGCCCGAACGGGCAAGTGCAATTTCTAGCTACTTGCCGGGGGCGGGGGGGCGAATTGTGGTTGCCCCGGGCAAGCGGGCAAGCAGGCTTGTCGCGCCCTGGGTTGTGTTGTGTGCATTTGTGCATTTATGTGCTTGTGGTGGTGGGGGAGGTGTCATTGTGTTTGTGCTTGCATGGGTGTGAGTGCGCTTTCGTGCCTGTGTGTGTGAGTGGATGTGTGAGGATGCATTTTTGTGTTTATTAGTGTGTGTCAGTGCATGCACAAGCATGTATGTACCCGAGTTTCTAACAAGTACACAAGCTAAATCCCAGATGAAATCCTAAAAAAGAACTAAAAAAGAATGAAATACTCATATATGCTGTTTTTAATACTGTTGCATAGATGGCTGGTGGGCAGTGGAGAAGTTTGATGAAGTCACAGGATCGGTAGCAATAGAAGTGAGGCCACACACGTATGTCATTGCACTCGACAATGGCTTGTTTACGACCGGGCCGCCACACGATGAAGGTAGCCATTTAATCAGATGTATGTGTGTGAAAAGAGAAAGTTGAAATATGGTTTAATTTTGGAAATAAAGTTAAAATATGAAAGTGTGATTATGTTGCATCGCTTGAACATATCTCGTCAATATTTATTATATGAACGCCCGTGCGCTACATTACTTTACTACATAGCGTGAAGTAATTCCCACGCGATACGAGAGATGAGCGTAACTCTTCCCCGCTAATTTCTGATGAAAGAATATTTGTGTTGATTCACACGTACGGATTTGGTTTTGCTCAGGGGAAGGTCCGAACCCAGAGGAAGTGCTGACGGCAGTGCGTGTATCCGACAGCAAGGTGGCGCTAAAGTCTGGCTACGGGAAATACCTCTCCGTTGAGAAGAGTGGTGTCGTTGCTGGTCGATCAGATGCAATCGGGCCGCGTGAAATGTGGGAGCCTGTGTTTGAAAACGTAAACAGACGATGATGACTTGGTACATGTTTGCAGCTGCTACTGCTAGTGCTACTGCTGTTGCTATTGCTGCTGTTGTTGCTGCTGCTGCTAGTGCTGCTGCGATTGCTGCTACTGCTGCTGTTGTTGCTGCTACTGCTGCTATTGCTTCTGTTGTTGCTATGCTATTGCTGCTGTTGTTGCTGCTATTGCTGCTGCTGCTGCTGCTACTGCTAGTGCTGCTGCTCCTGCTGCTGCTACTGCTACTGCTGCTGTTGTTGCTGCTGCTCCTGCTGCGCTGCTACTACTGCTGCTACTGCTATTGCTACTGCTACTGCTAATGCTACTGCTACTGCTACTGCTAATGTTGATGCCGCTGCTGCTGCTACTGCTGCTGCTACTGCTGCTGCTGTTGTTGCTGGCGCTGCTGCTGCTCGACTGTGCAAGCCATAGGGCATTGGCAGCCTATGCCGTGCGCAGTCACAATGTGAGCAGCAGAATCCTTTATGCTTTGGTTGACTAGTGGAATTTTCAGTAATGTTCCCATGTTCTTTCTCGCTCTCTCTCTCTCTCTATGGAATCATAGTATTGCGATATAAATTTATTTATTTATTCATAATAATAACTTTTGTGAATTATTATAATAATATAATATAAGTAATATATCATAAGACGTGAGTGGAACAATTATACAATTTGCTTACCCGACCGTATGCCTGCTCGCACGATTGCGTGTGTAGGACCTACGTGACTGCCTGTCTAACTCCACTCTCCCTTCTCAACGTAAGGACGGCGTGCTGACGTTCACTGGCTTTCTATTACGGATGAATAGCTAAATGCTGCTGGCGTCGTTGCATGGTGACGGTGTCCTCGGGAAGTCAACGTACGGCGCCAACAGCCTTTAGAAATATAGTTATTATGGCTGTTACCCGACGCAACGCAAGTAAAGATAAATTGGTTTCGGTTCATTTTTAAACATATTCCAGGGCCGTAGGCTGAGCAAATTCCTAGGGGCCAGTGGCGGATCCGTGATTTCAATTGGAGGTGGCGAAAAACAGGCGGGGGTCTGGGGGGTCCTCCCACAGAAAATTTTGAAAATGTAGATCGCATGAGATGGTATTTGAAGCACTTTTGAGTACATGTACAGCCTTCATTCTGACTAGGAAAATTCTCTTTTAGTAGAACAATTTATTTTTTAAATTTTGCTCCAAAATCTAGGGATGGAAGCTGCCCCCCGCACGCTATACGGCCCTGTATTCGCAATAAACATGCATACATAATTTAAATTTAATCGTGATTCACGTGCGATAAACCAGTCGTTCATAGCCCTCACTGTACATATAAACTAGTTTGTATTACATGTATATTAATATCAATATCTGCCTCACAAAAACGAGAACCTGTATCCATGCTTCATGTATAATTAATATTTAATTTTGCTTTAGATTGATACGATATATATATAATCCAACATTTTCCTCGTTTGTAATGGTTATAAAAAAATTGCAGCTCTCTACTATATTGACACACACACGCAGTCACGCACACACACACACGCACGCACGCACACACGCCCGCACGCACGCCCACACGTACGCACGAACACACGCACACACACACACGCACGCGACATTGGTCATTATTGAATATTTTAATTCTATGTTAAGCAACAAATCTTTCAAATCATCATGTATTTTTCTAAAATTACAGTGAAACACTTTTTTGTGCTAAATCACAATGCTCAGAATGCACCAGAGCCCACCATTTGCCTTGTAGATTTCAAAATTGTTACGGGGGGGGGCATGCCCCCAGACCCCCCTAGGGTGGCCTCGCCTCCCCGGGGCTCGCCCTATCACCAAAGCCGCGGCACTATTTTATTGCTTCTGACGCCCTTGGATACAACCAGCATTTTCACGATATTCACTGAGCCAGTATCCATCAACATCAGGAGTAGATAATTAACCTGATCAACATCAACCCTGCTACAGCTGTACTACTACCCTGATCCAATAAGTATCCCACAAGAGCCTAAAATAGTTCTCACACCTCGCAACGCACCTTACATAAGGCGCGCGTTTGTTGACAGTGACGTCAGGCAATGGGCGGGTTCGCGCCATTTGCATGAAATTGCGTTGGCCACCTCGTAATTTCTCAGAATTTCTCAAGGTGCATGGAACATTTTACCAATTTAGTGGTGTCAGTTAGTCATGGATATGTCGCAGTAAGTACTAACAATAGATATATCACATACGTTCACCCATTTTGCACACAGGCGGTCACTCATTGTGAAAAATAGAAAAACCCTGATTAAAGAAAGAAATTTCTCCGTTTCAATTTCTGACATAGTAGCCGATGTATAACTGGATATTTCTCTGTGATTACAACTCGGATTAATTTAATTTTACACTCGTTTTAATGGTAACATATTGTGGTAAAGAAGTGCGTCAGGGATTGTTATTAAGTGCCTCTTTATTCGCTAAAATTTTCAATTCTAACACAGCTGGATTTTTAAGCAGTTTTTTCAATTTTTCTCAGTAAATATGAAAATTAAAGAAAAATCCTGACGCACTATTTTGGTCCATATTGTGCTTAACATGTGGCAAAAATGTTGTATCCTCACTCTTTATAAATACAATTACAAAATTATATTCGTACTAAATACAAAATATCCAAAATACAATTTTTACATAAAAATTCAAAATTTGTGTGGTAACATAATTAGGTGCTGGAAATTTCATGAAATTTTTTGGCTCGCGCATAGAGATATATCTCCTCAATAAATAAAACAAGTGATTGATTTGATTCATTCGCCAATAAACGTTTAATCTTCACTAGAGCAATACCCGTACAAAAGGTGGAGAGTATCCTTAACTCGAGTTAAGGCCCCGTGTAGACGCTTAACTCGAGTTAGCGAATAGTACATAACTCCACGATAGGCGGCAACACTAGTATGATGTACGTACACACGCACGCACGCACGCACGCACGCACGCACGCACGCACGCACGCACGCACGCACGCACGCACGTGTACTTACACACGCACGCACACACTCATGCACGCACGTGTACGTGCACACGCACGCACACACTCATGCACGCACGTGTACGTGCACACGCACGCATGCACGCACGTGTACGTGCACACGCACGTGTACGTGCACACGCACGCACGCACGTAATTTGTTTGAAAATGTTCATTTAATGTGGCGTAAAACCTGGCAAAGCATTGGATACACATGTAACTTTTTTGTTTTTAGGGCAAGTTAGCATTGTTGGCTTGTAACAGTTGCTTCCTTTCCTGCACTGAAGAGGATGGGGATCTCATAGCTAAGAGTCCCAAGGTCGAGGCAAATGAAATCATAAAGGTATGCCAGTGATCTGTGATCTAATCACTTCATTTATTTGGCTTGTCCATTTTTAATGACAATTCATTGTACTATCAATATTTGATGTTAGATCACCAGAAAAGATATCATGGAACAGTTGTGATTTGTCTTGCAAGAGAATGCCCATGAGAGAATCGGTAATACAGAAAAAAAAGACAAACTGTTTCCGTTTATTAATGCATAGTATGTAAAATAACGAGGCAATATGTGGTTATGTATGTTGTGTTATGACTCCTCCATACTTTGTCAGGTCAGAACGAAAGCTGAAAAACAGACGGAAAAGAAAGACAACCAGCCAGACATTGATAAGGGCAGTGTGAAATTATCAGAACTCTCCTATGTGTAAGTAAACCATTATTATAATAGATAACCTTGGCTACGGATAGTACTGTGGTAGTTATATTTATCTTGTGATGCTCTTTAGAGGACATTGCATATACATGGGTATAAACAATCTCATGTAAAGATTTGATGCTTGGAAAATATTAATTTTAAAAACACTCCGTAGGAGAATAGCTGAACTGTGCAGCGCATATAATAATATAATTTCAATAAAAGCATGGAAAGAGATTGGATATACCTACCTTGGATATATGGAGTAATCACTATATATCATTTCATACCTCTGGTTCACGCAATATAACATGCTTCAGCACAATACACAGTCACACTGTGTCATGCCAATCTAATAAATGCTTTTGGCGCCGTGTTTCGTTAGGAAAATGTTTCAGAGCTTTCAGGACAGGAAACTCCGGGTGAACGAAGGGGACCGGACGAACCTTAAGAAGGCGAAGGAGGATGGTTCACTGCACGGGATGCTGCTAGACAGGTACTTGTCGTAAAAAAGAACAAATTTTTCACATCTTTCATGGGAATTTCACTTTATCATATTTCATGGGAATTTCACTTTGGCAAACTGCACCGTGCGTAGACATTCGCAAATGGTTTTTGTCCTGCTGTGATAACACTGCCAGTTAGCTAATATAAGGCTGTTCTGTCAATACTTCTATTTGACCCCGCATCGTTTTTCCGTAATATAGTTATAGTAATATTCGCTAAAATATTCGTTTATCTATGTAATTGATCGGACTGACTTGGATTTTTCCGATCATTTTTCCAATTATCAGAGGTATTTAAACAGCCGTTTTTGTGTGTTCATTCGTTCATGCATTTAGCAATGAAAAATGGTTGAAGTTCGGATGCTTTCATATTTTTTACAACTGTTGAACAAAGTATTAGAACGGGCATGTATTCGCTCGAAGTCTCCACTATTGCGAGTAGTATACAATATTCATTTTGGTTTTGAATGTATAAATGCACCTCTTCTCCATATTACTGCTGACTATACCGGGCAACAGCCCACGTACATTGACAGTATTTTTCTACTTTTAGGAGAGAAAAAATGAAAGCGGATCGATACTGTAAATAAGACATCTGCCATCTGTTACTGATTGAGTGTAGAGCTACCAAGACATAGCACTGATAGCAGAGCAGCTGGTTTTCAACATGGTAAATGCGTTGCCATTACCATCTTTCATTCTGCAAAGCACATGGCAGTTTTATTAGTATAGATTTAGGCATATATTGATTATATTCGATGTTTCATGAGAGTTGGGAAGACTGAACAATGCTCGTAGAAGGAATTGTCGTGTACTGTCTCGTAGTAATCACTACAGAATGGTCGTTATATTTCCATTTCAATTCTCGTGCTTTCTGTATTTGTACATGTGAGAAAAACCTGTGTGTGCCAGTGATAGGTATTTTTCACCAACTTAGGGCAAACTACGTCTGGTTGGGGGTGGAGTGGTTGGGGCATGTGATGTCGAAGGGGTATGAGGGTTTGGGATAGAATGTGAGAGGGTAATAAAGGCATTGGAATGGTTAAGGGGCTTGGTGCTGGAAGGAACAGGTGGGTGGGAGTTGGTGAATGGAGTAAAGGGGGCGTGTGAGCATGCGTGCTGTGTGTGAGTGTGTGAGTGCAGGGGGGGGGGGGTGATTGTTCTACTCCAGTAGTTAATGCAATAACTAGATTTCACGAGTAGGCATGATTGTACAGGTGACGAGTACCATTTTCAGTTACTTATCAACCAGATCAGCTCCATACGATGTGAATTTTTAGGAATGTATGACACTTCATTTTAAATAAACAATGTATATGCTATTTTTTAGCAAGAAAATGAATCTAGCATAATAACTTTATATGTTTGCCAGGTTCGAGTATAGCTTACAACAATGCGTAGTCTAGCACATGAAAATTGTCATTGTCATCGCTTTTTTTGGCATGATCATAAAATCATCTGATATAATTTGGCACAACACTAAGTTATAAATTATTCCTAGATTTTTCCAATTTTATTAAAAAAAATAAATGAATTCCTTAAATAACAACTTCTAGATTTCACAAATTAAGCTGCTTACACAGCATAAAAATAAGCATTTCTTGTTATTGTTCAGTTTGCGCAATCGAAGGAGTCTAATTACACACACATTACCAGGTGTGCATGCCTCACAATATAAACGAACATGTTAGCCATAAATAACTATTAAAGCCACAATATGCGCATCCAAACGCTAATTTCTCCAGTACTAGACTAGCAAATACTTTGTGACATGCATAATAACACTACCTTATGACAAAATAAACTCTAGTTCCTCCCATTTCAGTGCGCATTTGCTTAAAACCAACAAGAAAAAGGTGCGAAATCTGGTAATCTGGCGCCAACGCCGAATTGTTTGCCAAGCAATTTCGCCCCGAATCGGTTAGGTGACGTCACATGTTGCTACGGGTGTTGAGCAGAGAATATAATCGTTTACATTTTAAGATAGTTGTAGTATTGTGAACTGCAGTGTATGTAACATCAATGGCTATTGGGAAAGTAATACTAGGCAGCGTAATAGACTCTGAGAATAACATTGATTTTAGGCTTGATATCGCGAACGATAACATGTCATTGCGCTAGCAGCGTGCGAGCGAAAAACGCACACGGGCCGTAGAAATCTTTGCTACACCCGCTGTACGGTTGCTTGGCAGAGCAACGCAAAAGTGTCAACAACATCGGAGAATTTGAACAACATTGGAGGTATTTTCAAATACCTTTTATAAGACAACGCGCAGTGAAATGGGAGGAACTAGAGTTTATTTTGTCATAAGTTAGTATGATTATGCATGACACAAAGTATTTGCTAGTCTAGTACTGGAGAAATTAGCGTGTAGATGCGCATATTGTCGCTTTAATAAATAATGGCGTGTGCTAACATCACTAATAGCTTTTTCAGATTGACAACAGACGGCGCACAAGTCGCACATTGGCTGACACCTATGCTAATATTATTAGTTGCATTAATAATATCAAGAGCATATTAAGAAGGAGAGCGTACAACGGTGAAATGCTGAAACCATGTTACAGTATTAGTCGAATTAATAAACTTTTTCCGTTTTATTTTGACGATTCTTTGCAGTATTATTGATCAGCCGTCCTGCCTTGTTAATATAAAACAAACCGCATGTCCCTATGATGCCCCTACGCTGAGATAATGAGCGGTGAAAATCTAGTATTTTTGCTGAAAACCGACTCGAGATACCTGCTGACTGCGACTGTCTCTCGCTTTGAGATAACTTTGGGAAACCTCGCGTGTTTCCGTCAATGATTGACAAATGGAATGAATGACGTCTGTTATTGATTGCCATAGTGATGACCCTAGTAAACACTGTAGTACCTGACGTAATGAGTCAGCGCTACCATGGCACTACACAGCGGCGACCGGAAGCAACACACTGGCCACAAAGCGAGAGAGGGTCGCAGCAAACAGGGATCTCGAGTCGGTTTTCTGCAAAAATACCAGATTTTCACCGCTCATTATCTCAGCATAGGGGCATCGTAGGGACAGGCAGTTTGTTTTATATTAGCAAGGTAGGACAGCTGATCAATACTACCGCAAAGAAACGTCAAAATAAAACGGGCAAAGTTTCTTAATTCGACTAAATCTGCAACATCGTTTCAGCATTTCACCGTTGTACGCTCTCCTTCTTTATACGCTCTTAATCATATGTGGAAGAACTTGAGTAGAATAAGTAGGAGAGAGTGGCACTTGATTATGTGACTGTAATTGATGTAGAAGGAGAAGATGAGAATAAAGAAGTAGTAGAGAAGAGAGTATGGCACTATAAGGAGCGTAGAAGAAAATTCGGAACTGCAATAATAGTAAGCGGCTTTTAACTTCTGCCGTCACTTATGAAAAGTGACATAAATATATATGAGGTTAAATATAAAGATTAAAAGAACAGCCGGTACTTGCACAGATGTAAGTCAGCATGGCATTTAGGTTCATGTCCATGTGCGCATCATAATTCTAGTTTAAAGAAATCACTGTCCGTTGTGACGTTCTTGTAGCGGGTGAAGTGATGGTGGAGTCGTTTTTCTAGATACTTTCCTACTGAGTGTCTGGGTATATCAAGCAATGCTACCTTCGTGCTGATGTATTTGGCGAATGATTTAAAGACCTCCTGTAATTAAGAAACAATATAAGTAACAACAACAGTCGTCATAACACCAAAATGATCACAGTGCAGTAAATGTAAAATGAATTACCGTGACGAGGCATTGGTTTCAAACCCAAGAGATTGAAATTAGAAGCAGAAACATGTACCAAAGAAGGAATGCATATGATTGCATAAACTCAAGCGTGTTTAGAAAATATCACACCTACTACACACAATGAGTGTGATACGTTTCTTATAAGGTGCAGCTAATAACAGCAACAAGAGAAAAAAAACGTTTTGGGGCTTCGCGTTTTGCAAACGTCTCTCCTATTGTGGCAGTACTGCAAATTTAATGCGCAGTGGTGCAGTTATGAAGCGTTACTGAGCCCTGGATGGTTACCCTGCAGCCTGAGCAGTATAAGCGGTGTGAAGTGCATTAATTAACACACGTGTTAAGTCAGTGCCATCTGGTGGAGGCTGAGGAAGACGCAACAAAGAAAAATGCTCTCAGCGTAACATACGTACAATAATACATAACATATATACTTCTCTTACCCGGGATACTATTTTGCCGCATCTATAGTAGGGATCCAGGCATTTGACTACGATGTCTGCGACTAATGATCGCTCCCTCACAGACTCCACGGACTTTATACTCGACTTGGGAAGCCTTTCCACCTCCTTAATAGCAATGCTGCTGCTGAAGCTTACTCGCTTGTTAGCTGGCAAGGTGTGCACCTGATAACCAACCAGGTAAAGTAAACGTGTTCGTTAATAATTTAACAACATAGTAGTTACTCTACTAACTATAATCGATTTTAAATAATTGGTGTATCAATATAGAATATTAAGATATACAAGTGCGTTATAGTTCATATCACACGCTGATAGAATACACTCGTACAGATGTGTACGCTTTTAGTACAATCCTACACCTACACCTAATCCTACACCTGATGATGTCGTTAGCAGGTTAGCACCTGTTGTCAGCGTCGCGTGGCATACCTGGGCGTGTGAGCCACGAAGCTTGCCTTCTCGTCCTGACAGCCTCCCGTTGCCGCCGGTGACGACAGCACGCTGCGCTCGATCACGCGACCCGCGAGTGCTCCCAACTTTTTCGGCGCCACCGGCAACGTCTCCATCGCGCTTGTATGGGAGAGCTGTTGTCGCCTCGCGCACATCACAATCAAGGCCGCCACCGTCCGACGGACCATCCACGATCGCCGCGAGAGCGCCGGTATCACAACCATCGTCGCCCGCGGCGACCGCAGGTGTCTCGGTTGTGAGACGATCGCCCATGGCAACCGCTGCCGTGCTGGGCCTTGCCTCTCCCTGTTGCTCCTCTCCCGTCGAGGCAACTTGCGAGAAGTCGATGGAGCTAGCGGACGAAATACACGTCGGGTCCGTGAGATCTCCCGCTGCAGCGCTCCCTGGTGGCGAGAGACCGCTGGGCGGGTCAGGAGCAGTGGCGCACTCTGGTGGTGCATGATCACTGGGTAGATCAGCAGCGGTGCTCTCTTGTTGCTTGCAATGACTGGGCGTGAGATCCGCGGCAGCGCACTCTGGTGGTGCGCGATCACTGGGCGGGTTAGCGGTGGCGCACTCTGGTGGCGTGTGATCACTGGGCGTGAGGTCAGTGGGTCGACCTGCGGCGGCAGACACCTGGTGCTGCCCCCTTCCTTCACGCGCAGCAAGCTCCTCACCCGCGGTCCTCAAACCGAAAAACTCTGTGACACTGCGCATGCCGTTAGCGCGCAGCCCCTTCTTGGATGACGAGGCAAATTTCGACGAGGGGGCGCCAGTGGTCGCGGCGGGCGGCGAGGGTGGCATCGGTTCGGCAGAAAATGCGGCGTGCAGCTCCACGCTCTTTGTCGCAGCGTCGACTTCTCTGATCTATGCGGCGACGTGCAAAACGTTAGGAAAAACGTGTTTCTGTTCACGTATTCTGTTTGAAAGCTGACCTGACCGTAAAACGCTGGGAAGAACGTAAAGTACAACTCGAACCTGTGTATAAGGGTCACGTTAGAAATGTCATTGTAACTAGTCATTGTAAGTGTCCTTTATCCGCAGGTGTTCGCTTCGTAGAGGGGGTTTCACTGTGTAACTGCCACTCAAGGGAAATACCAAAAGTTTCCGTTTTAGACAAGTGCCCTTTCTATAGAGGTGGCTTTGTTGTATAACTGATATGTAAATGAGAAACACCAAATATGTGTTTTAATCACACACGCACGCACGCATACATGCACCGACGCACGCACACACTCACGCACGCATGCACGCACACACACACGCCCCCAGACACACATGCACGCACGCAGACACACACACGCACACACACCAACACACACGCACACGCACACACACACACGTCGTGGAGCACGTGAAGGGCCCTACCTTCTTCATCATCGATGCGATGTAGATGTTGCCAAGTTTCACGGCGGAGTATTGTCTGAACTCTTCCTCGACAGCGCACCGTCTCACCTTCTCCTCACTGAGCAAGCAAAGCAATGTTCGCACATTGGTCGTTAGCGAGCTCATCTGTCATGTCACTAATTAACAATTACTCATACCTATATTACCTACGTTGCCTACATTACCTTTTACATGTCACCTGACACCTGCTACATATTAATTTCTCCTAGTTATAGCACGGTCATATCTATACTAGAAATATTGTGTATATACAAGAACTATTAGTGTATATTCAATTATATTTGATTTCTCTTATGAAATCTGACAAAATCTTTGATCCTGATAATGAAGAGCATATATCTGTGTGTGTACACACTTAGTGAAGACATTAAACTACTAATGTTAGGCTAGATGTTGATTCCATCACTAAGAAGTAAATATAGAATCAATTATATCATATTTATGAGAACTATTGTTGTGGCAATTACTCTGCCCAGCATACCTGTCCGCCATGTCACTACAGGCGAGCATGAAATTATTGCGCAGTGCAACCAGCAGTTTTCCATACATTCCTTCTCTCGTCTGCAGAATGGAAAACATTGCAATTCTGTAACAAAGTGAACTGTACAGAGGGACAAAAATTGGAGTTTTTGGACAAAAAAAAAGAGGACTTAACTGCAATCTAGACTTTTGAATGTTGTTCATCGACAACAAAGCTAAAAATTCGGCCCCAAGGTTTAGCCGGCAAGAAGCCTATAGACAACATTGTATCATGTGATATATGTATATAAATATATATAATATTGTGATCATGTGACAATACTACTAGGAGTAGCAAACAGCTGTGTCCTAGCATAGCATGCACGCGGAAATGCACACGTGAAAACCTTTGTCACATCTCTCTGTTGAAGGCGGTTGCATTTTGAATTATGAACAACTGCCGATATTTATTGCCTGCAATTTTTTTCCTTAAAATATTATTAAAGGTGCTTGTCTGCAATACTACACTGCTACGCTTTTTTAAATTAAAATATTATTAAAGGTACTTGCCCGCAATGTTACACTGCTATGATATTTCGAATTAAGGTATAATTCAAGGTGCTTGCCTGCACTGTGAGTTTAGGCACCCTGGTACTGGCAGGAGACCTGAGGGGACAATCAAGTGACACACTCTGTTCCATTTTCTGCTTCTTATCTGGCTTTCCACGAGAAAGTCCGCTCTCCCCCTGGTGATCAGAACATGCAATTGCCAATCACAGCAAAGACAAAACACGACAGAACTCGATGCTGCATAACAATCGCGATTAAAAACTCAACACTTTTCATGTAGATGCATGGGTTATGCATTCAGTTTCATGTAAATGTAGTTTAATGAATCACAGGATATATATAAGATGGAAAGAGTAAGGGTTATGTTCAGTATGGGGTCACAGCCATCTAGGGTCGAAAGCACATATATAAATGCACAGAAAATTATAATCATCTTACAATAACATTAGCCAAAATAGAACTGCACCATAATAATAGCAATGATTATCGTAATAAGCACTAATCGCATGTTAGGAGCAGTCAGCATGCCCTAAATAATTTTAGTTGGGCTCTTGTCACGTACTCGTTTCCTTTTTCGAAATTCTGTTTGGATTAGACTTTTTAACCTGCTCCTCTCTTCTTCTCCGTCATCGCCACCACTGAATGATTTAAATAATAATAATTCAATTAAAATTCTCTCTTGTGAATTCTCTAATGAGGATGAATTAGCCAGTTGATTCGAATGACACAACAGTAATGAATGGCTTAAATGAATGCATAATTGATTGAATTGAATTGATAAAAGATGAAATGTGTAAATTTGACTCACTTCTAATAAACATTCACATCTACAATTTTACACGAAGCACACACTCTCACACATTTACATAATGGCCAAGGTTATTACTCCCAATGCAGCAAGTTAACCACATTGTATACATAATATATGTATATATATATATATATATTACTATATATATATATGTATATATATATATATATGTATATACAGGGATGGTGGCATTTTTCTAAACTAAGGGCAAGCAATCACTCGCCTGCTGTCACCATTATCATAGCCTGGTCTATACCGCTCCACGTCGAAACTGTTACCATCGTCATATTTCGTGTCTCTGAAACAGACATTAAAATGTCAGACAGAGAAGCAAAAACCATTTAATTCAGTCAATTATTAAATGCAGCATGAAGATTATTACTTCAAGCAGGTATTTGTAAATGGCAATGCCCTATTTCCATTGTAATTATCCATGAATTCCATACCATTTATCATTATTAAACATGATCATTGTATGAGCGTGCATCCATGTGCACATGTTTAATGGAAGCTATTCACTCCAAGAAATCCACAAAAAAGTGTAAAAACACTAGAGCATCATTGTAATTTCGCCAGGTATTTCTCATGTTACACGTTCTATCATTGAGTTAAAACAATCACCTGGAAAACTTTCCACCACCATACAGGCTTGCATCTTCCCTTGTCCCCTCTTTATTTGTCATACTTGAAACTGTAGTACTTCCTGCAAAATAATCTCATATTAACATTTTCTAAACAGATTTTTTTACAACATTTTATTACCATTTTTCATATAGAATCTATATCACGAGTGCGTATTGATACCATAATAACACATGCACAGTCACGCGTGCACATACACGCACGTACACGCGTGTATGCACGCATGCACACATGCACGCGTGTTCATGTATACACATGCGCATGCACACACACACGCATAACGCACGTTCACACGAATACATTCATGCACACAGACATGCATGCAAACATGCACGAATACACAGGCATGCATGTGCACTCACACTCACATGAGTACACAGACATTCACACGTGTGCAGACACACACATATACACACAGACACACACATGCACACACACACATGTATACACATACACGCACACATGCCTGCAAGCACGCGCGCTTGCGCAAACGCACCAGCATGCACCTGCACACTCGCATGCACGTTTGCATGAATAAGCAAGCATGCACGCACACATGGATGCAAGCACGCACGTTCGCACAAACGCACAGCCACACATGCACACGCACGCACGCACGCATGCATACAAGCATGTACGCTCGCAGCAATACACGGACACACACGTAGATACGCGTGCGTACACACACACACACACATGCATACCTTGATGTCTGTGCTTGCTATTCACACCACACGCTCCAGACTGGAAGCGTTCCGTGCGATTAGCCGTCTCCCTCGGTAGCTTGCAGAAGTCACACGTCTTCTCACACGGTGGCTTGCCGTCGCCGAAGTAATCGGCAATGGCCTCGTGCCGACAGCGAGGCTTCTCACAATAACCAACCATGCCCTCGAAGTTCGACTTTGCCGCCTTCCACTTCCCACTGAGGCTGAATTTCTTGCTTCCCTGGTTAACGATTTAGGTAAAATTCACGAGATTAGTAGTAAATGATAAAATGATAAATGATAGTTTTCATTCACTCCTGGCGAATTGAGTAGCGATACAATCAGGTCAGGAAATACATTCGGAATGAATCTTGACTGTGGGGTAAAATTGAAACACTTCATCAACATCTGTTTAGGTGCCTCGACTTAAATTAAATATTTGAATATATTTGCTAAAAGGAAAGAAGAAAGGGTACGGGCTTTAGCTTAATGCAAAATGAAACATTCCTATATAATGATTACTCGTAACAATAAATATAAAATAACACCTGTAATAACCATAAATATACTTTCTCCTACTCTATCTACTCTCTATCATAGTTCAAATACATGCATATGGTTGCTGTGATATGATATCTATCATATATATATATAATTATCTAGTAACAATGATAGCTAACATGCAGCATTGAGACGATGATTCTGACCTATTCAACAACCTATGACTGAATTTCTTACTAAATAACTTGCATTCGTCTTCCTGATGAGGAACCATATGATGTTTCGCTCTTCCCGACTGTGGTAAATTCTGCAGTACGCTGGGTTGCCGTCTCTCCCCGCTCTACCAGACTCTTGATAGTAGCCTGCCATTGATTGAGGTAGTGTCCAGTGCGCCACAAACCTACACAGGCGAACACGCAATCAAACCAATCATATTTCTCATCACTCATTAAATGCTCTACCAGTTAAAATCGGACAGATTCTCTGTAAAACCACCCAATGATCCATTTGTAAGAGCCGATCGGCTCTGAAATTCAAGTGACTTCGTGCCACTGGTGTAAATGGTCTAAAGGTCTGGTTTTCTGGCTACCAAATCCCCCTTGATTTTCAACAATGTGACTTTGACTCAAGTTCTGCAGGTTTCACATGAATGACTGACTTCAGATAAAAAACATTTATCGCTGCTCTGATGATGTCACCCGGAGCAAAAAATAGTTACAATTTTTTATTTTATCATTTCATTCAATTATAATTTTTACTCGCATTTTTCATCTAATTTTTCGTACTTCTATTATTTACTCCCGACATCACGCTCCCCTTAACGAAAACCTACCGCACACACGACTGGTCGACGCCCATGCCAAAGCTGATTGTTGCCACAATGACCTTCACACGACCTTCCATCCAGTCGTCCTGCACGACTGTGCGCATGTTGCCCTTGAGGCCTGCATGGTAGGCCTTAGCTGTCAGTCCTTTAGCTAACAGACGCGTCGCTACCTCTTCGCATGCGTCTCTGGTCCGGCAGTACACAATGCCACAACCTTTCTCACTCTGTAATGACACAGAACACATCAATGCCACAAGAGTTATCACTGTTATAGTGCTTTCTTCCACGTTGTACCATGGTGCACCAGGGGCATGTACAGGATTTGTACCAGGGGGGGGTCTAACCGTAACCCAAACTTGCGAGCACGCGAAGGGGGTCTGGGCCCTCCCCCAGAAATTTTTCGAAATTAGACCCCCTTAGATGCGTTTTCTGCGCGAGCAGGGGGGAGTTCGGACCCCCTGGCCCCCCCCCCCCCCGTACACGCCCCTGTGCACAAGTCTGATAGAGTCCATCCGATTCATTTCCTTCTTGTCTTCTACTGCCATCTGGTGACAAGCCCAAGGAACTTCACCCTGCTTGATAATGATGGCTACACATATTGCCCAAACTGTTGCCAATGCATTAATAGATTGCAAAATTTGATCGTTCAAAATTAGTATGCCACAGTAGTGTTGTCAATCGGTTGTAATTTCGTAATCGATCATCGGTTGGACCCAAGTAACCGATGATCGGTTACAATCGGTTACTCGGGGTGTTGAATGCCTGCGTGTGCGTAACGTCGTGCGCATGTACGTGTGTGCATGTATGTTTTTGCTTAGCCCTGTTTACTGTATGTTTTGCACTGTTTACTACTGAGTGTATAATACATGTATGTTAATAAAGGATAACTTGTATAGTAGCGATGATATCTCTGATTTTCATCACTTTTCCAAGTTTTCTAGTTCGTTAAAAAAAAATAAATAAATCCGATTATGGATTTTGATAACCAAGCACTTGGTTCGAGCCACTGTTCAACCGATGATCGAGTATAATCGATGATCGTGACATCACTATGCCACAGCACAAATTTTTCGAGCTGAGAATGCGCATGATAGCACCAGTTTCCTCTAGTCCCTTTTTGCAAGTATATCACGCAAGAATCAACAGTCCCGACTGTTCACATGCACCAATATAAACGTGTATTCTACTATAACATGTGAATAACTTACTGGGCCCAATGCTTTCATTATAAATTTTCGTAGGTCTTCATATGGATTGTCAAGCAAGTCAATAAACATCACATCGTAGAAGAGATTTTTACGAAAACAGCTCTGCTTGAATATCTTTCCTGGTTGTCTCCATTTAAGGCAAGTTCGAATGTCATCCATAACCTGAAGTCATAAATCCATAAGTCAGACCATTATGAAAATCTATACACGCACGCACGCACGCACGCACACAAACATACACTATTTAAAAACATTTGTAGATTTAACAAACTTCTTACTCTAGTAAATGCTTTTATTAATCTCAATCTATTATCTTCATTTGGGATGGGGAGGGTGGTGGGAGGGGGAGGGTTGGGGTAGGGGAAGGGCAAGTGGAAGGGGCTCTAAAGTCTAATAGCAAAAGCAGTTCAGTCCTTTGTTAACAATCAATAAATCCATGTTTAACCCGCCTCTTGAGGGTCAAAAGGTTATCAGACACTTACTCTTCGCACGTAAGCGGAAAGCAGATTTCATGGTCCTTTCAATAAAGTGATAAAAACGGTAGGTCAGCGCTGAAACAAAAAAGTTTTGCACTCGGTCCGTTGGACCTTGTCCTCAGAAAATCTGATATCTGACCTTTCCCCACTGCCCTTTGACCTGTGACTTCCAATTTTGCGCTGGTGATGGGTTTCCTCCCTATCACACTATACATCGCGCGTAGGATGAGCCGTTGAGATTTGTGCCACAATTCCGTATTTCCTCCTATACCTTAAGTTAAGGGGGAAATATTCCCCCTCTATTGACACATCTTGACCTTTGACCCTTGACCCCCAAATTTGACATCCCGAGTCCTTTTCGCGATCTCCCACAACGTCCCGAATATCAAGACCGTACATCGAGCAGTTAAGATTTGTGCCCAACTGTTGACGGACGGACGCACGGACAGATGCACAAACAATCATGCGATTCTACAAGCTGCATCTGACTTCGTCAACTGAGCTAATAATTTATATAAAACAGTTTATCACCATTACATCGTTTAGTCTAAATACTTGCCCACTATACGTTGACCAGGCATATATCGTTAGCATCATTTTTATCACTATAACCTCCATATCTCTTTACTGCGTACACTATATGGACTAACACAGGCTATAGTGTTAGACTTAGACTCTTTTTTTTATACAGTTTATGTGGTTCTTGACTGACTTCACAGCTCAATGGCATCTAGTGATAAGCTTATCAAACACACATGGGGTAGTGACAGTGAATTACGTTCGTGTGTTAATGGGCTATGTAATATTAATATTAACGTTAGTGGGTTATGTGGATATGTATACATATATATATATGTACATGTATATGTACATGTACATCTCTATTATGTACTCTTGATGTATATTCATATATACATGAAATGCTAGAGCTAGACCTACTGACCTGTTTCGTTGCTGTGGCTGTCAGCGCAATCAGTGGCACAGCCTTTCCAATCTTCTGCCTGAGGTAACCCAGTTTGAGGTAGTCGGGGCGGAAGTCATGGCCCCACTGCGAGACACAGTGAGCTTCATCCACAGCCAGATACGCCAGCCGTCCCTTCACCCGCAGTGCTTGCGCCACCTGGCGGAAGTTCTCGGTCGCACACAGCTCCGGCGTGATGTAGAGCAGCTTCGTTTCCGGCGGACGCTCGCCGCACAGGTCGTCGACGACGCGCCGACGCTCGCCCGCCTCCTGCTTGGAGTTCATCGTCTCCACGGCAACGCCGAGGCTGCGCAGACGCTTGATCTGGTCGTGGATGAGAGCGAGCAGCGGAGAGACGACGAGTGTGATGCCGGGATGCATCACCGCGGGCAACTGGTAGCACAGCGACTTGCCGGCTCCGGTCGGCATGGAAACGAAGATGTCCTCTTCTCCTGCGAGTATGACAAATGAGGCATTGCTTATAATTGGCTGCGCATTGTCGCGCGCTGGGCATTAGTATACGGCAGTGCATATATATTGCTATAATATTAATATAATATTCACTGTGTGCTTGTGTGGACTGAATTGTATTACGTATGGATCATTAACCGATTTAGATACAGATACTTTCTTGCAATCATTACTCCAGTTAAAGCGAGGAATGTCCTAATATTTTTTCCATATGCTTTAATATTTTCTTGACTGTGTTCTGATAGTACAGTACATGACACCAATTGTATATAGTATTAGTAAGGCTAACATGTCATAGAACACTCACACATCATTCTTTTAAACAATGGCACATATCTACATCTCATTCTCCTACAGTTTACACTGGATAGAGTGACTGAAAAGGTAGACAATCTACAGCTTTTGTAAGTTTTCCCAAACTAGATATTCGGCAGTGAATATTTAACCGTATACGGCAGAGTATCCACTTCCGCTATTCTACCGTACACCACATTTGATTGGCTATTATATTTATGATGTCATCAAAATTACGTTCGAATCCCATAAGGTTTAGTTGTCTTAGTATCTAGAAAACTTTTAAGTTCAAATCCCATTTATTTCTAGACATTTTGAGCCCAGCGTTTGATCATAGAACTTAGAAGCTATTTTCTGCGAATCATGTTTCCAATACGAAACCTTTGAACACATTCACAATATACTAACATACACATATATACTAGCCAATCAGAAGTATGGTACTGTACGGTAAAATAGAGGAAGTGGATGGTACTCTTGCCGTATAGGCCATAATACCACAGGCACTTGGAACGTCTCAATAAAAAAGGTAAATAAACACGAAATGTATTTACTACCAAAGTCTTAATGTTTCTCTACTCTATTTCGCCTATTATTGCCGCTAATTACCCATAAATGCCGGTCAAATGCTCATCTGCAACACACAAGTACACCGCACGCACGCCCTGTGCACAAACAACATGAATAAGAAAGTAGGTAGGAAAGCGTGACTGCAAAATTCGCTCGATGCTCGCTTCATTTCACACCTTCACATCACGAATACACATCCAACAGCTTCCATCTTGGTATCTATGTCTAGCTAAATGTTCAGTTGTTCGAATTATAACTCTGGCCTTTGTTCTTACCTACTCCCGCCAGAAATATTTCGTGAAATCTTGCAGGAAATGTTCTCTCCGTGAAAATGTAAAGAGGAGGAGATGTCTGTTTATACACGAGTAATGGGGCGCATTGCATGCTGGGATGAGCTGCTGCCTGCCTCCGAGCCTCCGTTTCGAGGCCTGCCAAGCCAAGCATAATGCGCGCGGGCATGACGTCACACACACGACTACAGTGATCGATCGAAAGTAGCGACGTTAGGGATTTTCGGATGATACGTCCTCTTTACATTTTCACAGAGAGAACATTTCCTGCAGGATTTCACGAGATATCTCTGGCGGGAGTAGGTAAGAACAAAAGACAGAGTTATAATTCAAACAAGTGAACATTTAGCTACACATAGATACCAAGATGGAAGCTGTTGTTGGTGTATTTTGGATCTGAAGGTGTGAAATGAAGCAAGCGTCGAGCCAATTTTGCGATCACGCTTTCCTACCTGCTCTCTTAAGCTGTGGACACACTACGCGATTTATCATGCGATCGAGCCGGCCGGCTCAGTCGGGCGACTCTGTGGACACACTACGCGACCGAGTCGAGTGACTCTGTGGATTTTCAGCACGCTGATTGGCTGATGAATTGTACAATCTGCCGGCTCAATCGCAGACCCGGGCACACTAGGCGATTGCAGCCGGTTGGCTCAAATAATTATCAAACATGTTTGAATCGGGCGACTCGGCCGGCCGACTTGAGGATCGACCGCGACTCACTGGACACACTACGCGATTTTTCATGCGATCGAGCCGGCCGGCTCGGTCGGCCAGCTCGATCGCATGAAAAATTGCCTAGTGTGTCCACCCCCTTATTCATGTTGTTTGTGTTGTTTGTAGTAGTAGTACTATATGACCTGCGGCAACTGTACGCGGGATATAGTACTACTACTAGAGCTAGCGAAATAGAGTAGAGAAACATTAAGACTTTGGTAGTAAATACATTTCGTGTTTATTTACCTTCTTCTTTTTTTATTGAGACGTTCCAAGTGCCTGTGCCTGTGCATAATAGATTAATACGGTAGTGTAACCAGTAAACCACTGCGTAAAATAAAATGTTATCTAGACGTAGTACTACTACTAGTAGGGTCTTTGGTTTGGAACAGAATAAATTTTTGATATTGATTAGCGAGATGTCTCAGACTATCCGAGACATTATTTCAGTCAGATACAAACACACAAACCTTTTATAGCCGAGAGTATGGCGCTCTTCTGGAGAGAATCTTTAAAATCTGCGTGGCCAAACAGATTCTGCAGCACTTCTCTCGCATTTTGCTCTATATTGTGTGCCATTGCTTACGCCCTTAATATATAACAAACATAAAATAAATATATTCTGTACCAAGTTAACAATATTTTACATAAAAGCAACACTTTTTGAGCATATGACGCTTGCCCATGTTTATACGTTGTTTATATAATGCTCATTTATTACAGCAACTTCGAATCATTCATGGGAGCAGCCATGTTGGCGAAACAAAAAATATGGATAGATTTAGATTTAGATTTAAATTTAGACTCGTCAAACCGTGAATGTGTATGGTACACACACACACACACATGCATACCTTGATGT